CGCGGGAGTCTAACCCGCCCTTGCAATCGATCAAAGTGTCCAGAATAAATGAGCTTGTCGCGCTGGACATTTTGAGCCCATTTCCCGCCACCCCCAGGGGCAATAGGTATTTGTTGACTGGTGTCGAGTATTTTACACGCTGGCCTATGGCCTGGCCCCTGACCAACCAGTCGGCAGCAGCCATCGTGGAGGCCTTTGTTCAGGGATACGTCCTGGACAAAGGTGCTCCGGAGCGGCTGCTGACCGACCAGGGCAGAAATTTTTCCGGTAAATTACTCAAACAAGTCTGTGACCTCCTAGGCACGAAGAAAATTCGTACCTCCCCGTATCACCCGCAAACTGACGGGATGGTCGAGCGCCTGCATCGCACCATTACGTCAATGATGTCACAGCAGGTCTCGGACTCACAGACTGACTGGGACCTGCATATTCAAGGGGTCTTGGCGGCATACCGGATGGCACCCCATGCAGCTACGGGATTATCCCCCCTTTACCTCATGTACGGTCGCGAACCCGACCCGCCTGTTCGCGCCCAGCTGCAGATCCCCGAGCCCCAAGGGAAAACTAAATTGGCTGACCACGTCAAATTTAATCTGGCCAAATTAACAGAGGCGCGGGATGCTGCAATGCTAAACTCGGACCTCCGTCAAAAGGCGAATGAGCGCCTCAGGCTGGGTCGGGCGCACATGATACAGTGGAAACCGGGGGACAAGGCATGGCTGCACTGTCCCCAAGTGCCACTGGCTACCTCCTCTAAGCTGGTGCGGCCGTGGCGGGGCCCTGTGGAGGTGGTCGAAGTTTTGCGACCACAGTGCGTGCGCATTAAATGGGGGAAGCGGCGATGGTTCGTGCACCCCTCTAGGTTAAAACCCTTCGTTGCGGTACACAAACCCACTTCACACATGCGTGGCCAAACGTGTGGGGGGTCGACCGACTCATTGGGTCCGTCTCCGTCGTTCTCACCTAATGCCTTGCCGGCCGTGCCACCTCCAGGTGCATCAGGACTGACGGGCTCACGCCCGACCACCCCTCCTGGGGATACTGACGGTCGCGCGGCATCGGATGAGGACTCACTCCGGGACGGACAATTGCCACCTGACGGTCCGCCACCCGGGGTTACCCCGTGTGAGGGGCCCGCTGCAAGGACGCGCGCAAAAATGCGCAGACTGTTATGAGGCCGGAAGATGTGTACATAGGTTGTGTTCATCGTGTGTTGTGTGGGTGGTGTGTTCCCTGCCCATTGAATGTACATATGTTGGGTTCATTGTGTGTTGTGTGGGTGGTGTGTTCCCTGCCCATTGAAATGTACATACGTTGGGTTCACCTGGTGTTGTGTGTATGGTGGGTTCCCTGCAAATTGTATATAGGTTGTTTTTTTTTTACGGAATTCGTATTTATTCAAGGGGGGGGGGGTGCGTCGGGTTGTTTTCTCTTCTTGCTGTTGCATTTTGTTGTGTTCTTGTTGCTGTTCTTGTTATTGTTGAAAAATAGTGAGGCACACGCGCGGTCAAGGTGTAAATGCACTTTTATTGTCATTTTTGTATGTTGGCAGCCGGGACGGCTGCAAGCTATGCGGGGGGGGGGGGGGGTGATGTAGGGGTGTTAAAGAGAGGGCCCGTTATGCATGGCAGCCTATGGAAAACAAACACAGTGGGCGGGGCTACGTAAGTGCACGAGGAGGTGCCCTCTACGACGTCCGAGCCAGACACCCTGGGGGGGGGGGGGCTGGTTCGAACGTTATGATCCCCCGGGGCCCCACCCCTCAGGGAGGGGTTGGGTATAAAAGGGGATGTTCAAAGGGCTCGAGTCAGTTATGTTTAAGCTAAGGGAAGAAGACTGAAGACGTCTTAGATAGAGCCCTGGACTCCCCTAGTTCGATGTCCTTTTCAGGGCCGGACAGGACTGAGCCAGCGGCGTGGTCCCGAAAGCCAGAGCCGGTGCTCTTGTAAGAGCTGGTCTGGAACTCCGGGTACCGGGCCCGACTTACCAGTGTCGGGCCAGTTAGCCTCCCCTAGCCCATTAGTGGAGGATTTGGGGCTAGGACAGAGTTAGCTAGGGGTGTATCCCGAGTTATACGGGTGAGGGGGCCGATACCCCCTCGAGTGTGTATATGCCCACTGTCGTATTGTGAAATAAATATACGTGTGCCTCAACCTCGGCGTCAAGCGTCTTCACCGGTACTTCACATTTAAGGTCGCGACCTGTCCGGGTTTCACCCAGGAATTGGCCGTCTGTGAAAACGAGCTTTATAGCCTATCAGATTCCCCCATTATAAATGCATATTTCGATTCTGAAAATAAATAACACACGCAAAGACAGAATACTCACCAGATATGGTGACTGATATTGCGTTTCGAGATTTTACGCTCTTCCTTCTGATATTAGAAAGCCGCTGGGAGCTATGCACTTTTCAATCTGGATTGAAAACTAATTTCTTTCGAACAGCTTTTTTCGTTCAGCTCGTCCTTCCTACCGCAACACCTCCGATTGGCACGGATCGCTTGTACGATGCGAAAGAAGTTAAACACACATACACTATACACTACACTATCCGATATACTACATTATACACTATACACTACATTACTACACACTCACTACATCAATATACTACATTTAAAAGTTGTTTCTTTAGAACAGCTTTTTATGTTTAGTTTGTTGTCCTCCCCCCGCACCTGTCATTGGCTACGTACGGAGCGAGATAAGTTCTACATACATACATACACTCCATCAAAATTCGCAGCGAAATAAGTTGTGTACGCTGTATCAGGCAGAGTTAATGCCCATGGTGTACACACTCTGTTCCAGAGAGATATTAAACAGAGGCGCTGAGCAGCAGCAGTAACACTGCAGCCAGGGGTAGGGTGTGCCCCAATGCTGGCACTCTGTCCCAGATGCGCCACCGAGAGACGACACTCAAAACTGTCGGCTCGACTCATCTGACACGAGGACCCATTGGTAGATCGAGACCTGGTGTGGGGGGGTGCAGGGATGTTGAGGAGTGACGGTGCGTTGGCGATGTTGTCAACACTGAGGATTGTGGGCAGCGCTCGGGGTCGCCGTGGCGTTGTGCGTCATCGCGTGACGCTGTCCACACCGCGACTGCGGTCTTTTCTTTCAATTGTTCGAGAAAACGCCGCAGCGAATCAATCGCTGCGTTCGAAATGTAATCACGTTCTCAAATTCGTCGGCGACCTTACAGTGAAACGACGTAAATAGGAGCCACGTGAAGGGAGGACTTGCTTTGAGCTCACACGGATCACTCCCGCGGAGATCTTTGAAAACCATCTGAATTGAAAGGGGGCAATTTATTCATAATAAACGTTTTTGGGTTAGATTGCGTTATTTATAAATGTGTCGTAACCCTCCACCACCCGACACGGCCAATCAGCAAAAAAGTGTCACGTTGACAAAAGACAAATAGTTCACTACTTTAGCCCACCGGTTTGTTGAAGAGTGAATCCACAACATTTACAATTTATGAGTACGACGTTTCGCTGGTAATTACATCCAGCATCATCGGGCAATTCGCTTTCCACGTAGTAATTCGCTTTCCTCGATCGTGTATAAAGTATAGCATTGCGTGATCGCAGCTTGGAGAGGTCGTCATCCAGCAGTGGACTGGGTAAGGCCGATGGTGATGATGGTGGAGGTGATATAACAATTGGCAGTAATTTAGGGTTTTTTTCTATCATGTGTCGTGGTGACACGTTAAAGACCTGAGGCAAAATCCTAATCCTGATTAATGTTTTACTTTTAAGCAGGGTTTTATAGGGAAATTGTGCCGATGTCACTGTAATCGCCATTAAAGAGGGGAAACACATCTATCGGTCAAATGAGATCCAGGAAGACCTGGGTAATCAAAGTGAGAAAGGCAAACTTGTATTCAGTGATCTAGAACAACAACGCACCGGGTTTACATAGTGACCAACACAATACACTGGGAGACACCAACACCTATCCGTAAAATGTTTAAAATAACGTAAAGGTTACAAATGTAATCACGGCTGCTGAGCACAGACCCTGAGGCCCAACACGCCCAGCAGCCAGCAAGCAGTGGCTGTTGAATGCTTCACGGATGAGGGTGAATTCGTTTATGGAATTGAGCAAGGTCACTGTTGTCAGAGCTTGGGGGGGAGGAGACGGCGATGGGAGAGGATGAAATTCCAAGGTGGAGCAGTGCGAGGGAAGAAGTAGAAAGAGAGGTGATGCGGCCTGCAGTGTGGTGAGTGGCTGAGTAGGTGAGTGAGTGGGTAGGTGAGTTAGTGGGGGAGTGCATGGGTACGTGAGTGGCTGGGTGTATTGTTGTGACCTGTAGTGAGGTGAGTGGGCCTCCCCTCGGTCGACTCAGCCTCAAATGAGTACCTGATGTGGTGTGTAAACATCGCCACTGGGAAGACAAAGGCGGTCGGGTGTGGTGTTGGCCATCCAACCCCTCGTGTGCCGTGCTGGCCTTCATATGTGCTCGCTAACAGCATTTTCCCCAACAGTCTGTTCAGACTAAAAGTGGGATTTTTGCGTTGTCTGTTTGTGATAGTGGGTACCTGCGTGGGTGAGCGAGTAGTTTGGTGAGTGGGTGAGAGGTTGAGTCCGTGTATATGTGGGTGAGTGTGTGAGTGAGTGGTAAGGTGAGTGACTAAGTGAGTGAACGAGTGGCTGAGTACTGGGTGAGTAGGTGAGTGTGTTGGTACGTGGGTGTATGAGCTCACTCGTGTGCAAGGAGAGACGGCACGTTTGGGATTTCACCGAGAGAATGAAAGAAGAGCACACGCGTAGGTTAAAGAGGTGGTTTTGACTATTCATGGAAGTTGCCTCGGGCAGGACGAACGTCTAGAAGGGCCTATGGCCGACGGGCAAAGAACAACTGAGCAAAGGCCAAAGGAGGAAAGCGCCACGATTGTACGTTCACCGCGGAGATGGAGCGACGAGGTCGCTCGCGTGCCGGTGCCGGGTGGATCGTCGCATCGCGAGACCACGAGCGGACCGATCACTGCGCGCACCTGAACCGCTCCTGGCCGGCCGTGTCCCACAGCTGCACCTTGACCCTGCGCCCCGCGTCCGGCCCCAGCGCCAGCGTGCGGATGAAGAAGTCGACGCCGACCGTGGGATCGCTCTCCTCGCCGTACGTGCCTTCCACGAAGCGGCGCAACAGCGCGGTCTTGCCCACCGTGGCGTCGCCCAGCACGATCACGCTGTACTGGTAGCGCACGCCGCACGGCTCCATCGCCACCGCGTTGCGGCCGGCTGCGTCAACGCCAACCGATGCGTCGCCCGCTTGCTCGACTGCGGCCACCCCAGCGGTTGCGTCGCTTGAAGGGCAGGATAGGGAGGAATTCACCAAAGACCTTCACTCCCCCCTGCCCCGCTGGCTCGCTCGCTCTCGCAAGTTCTATCCCACGAGCCGCAGAGGTGTTGTGTTTTTTCGCTCGTCTTGTGATATTTCAGAGGTGAAACTCAACCGCAGCCACGTCGCTCCGCGCGCTGACAGGAGGATGGATTCGACCCAACGCCACCGCTCTCTCTCTCGCGCTCTCTCTCTTGTCTCGTGGTTCTCGCTGGTTTGGTGCGATTCTGGAGATCACAGTCGCAGAGAGACGGCACTGTCCGTGTGCACTTGAGGAGTGCGGTCCGTCTGTCTGTGTCGTTTTGTGTTTTTTTAAAGCTGGTTTTACGACTGGTTCTGTAAAAGGAATAATTTTCACCCCCCTCACCCCTCCCCGTGCCATTCAAACTTCCTCTTTTGGGGCGAGGACGGGAATAACAAAAAACCGATGGCATCTCATTCGATCGGAGTTCAACCCAAGTCACGACATGCAGCACCCCCCCCCCCCCTCCTCGAGCTCTCAAACCTCAAACACATCGGTACAAAAACATAATTTTTGACTTATTCGAACGTTTCATCAATCGAATTGATGAGCAAACCCCAGGCACGCGCATGCAATACGTAGACTGCGCGTGGCGTTTTATCATCCAGCTGTTGTTAGTCACCCGATAGTTTGACAGGAAGTGCCTTGTACTTCTGCATTTTTCACTGAGCTGTGACCACAAACATCGTCGAAAGCAAACACGACAAACGGTAGACTTCTATTTCCGTGCCGATGACCCCCGCTTAAGAGGACCCAGAACATACTTTGGGATTTTTCTCAGCAGCCTGTATCTGGGCATGACTCACTGACGAGCCATCACGAGTCAAGGCCACGATTATTATTCAGCCAATGCCATAAATGCTCACTACCTCTCGCACCTCCCGCTTCCATCTGTCAGATGCAGCAGATTCGATACCGTCCGCTGACCACCGCCACGGGCTTTAGGTCACACAGTTGACACTTGTAGAGAACACGTGTCAACCTCCCATGCAGTTTTCACATCTCTGCGGATTTTTGGTGGCGGAATGTTGACCAGAACAGGGGAGCTAGGGGATCGGTGTCGATCTCAGTGTTGCGGTGCGCATGGCGCTATTTGGCTGTGCATCCGACAGTTTTGTGTGCGAGCTCCCGGAGCAGACTGGAGCGCGCTCACTCTGCCACTGAGTGGATCGGTGAGAGGGCGGCAGCAGCATCAGAGAGGTCGATCGTTGCTGTGCCGGTCTTCTGTTGACGCTGGAAGCCCGTGAAGGTAACGATCTATTGGCAGCAGCAGCAGCTGCAACGGTCGGTTCGGAATCCCCCGACTCGTTCTGGAGGCAGCTGCGGGTCGATAACGAGAGGAGTGCGGCGAGCACGGCACCTTCCATTAACCTGGTTGCAGTTGGAGGGCGAGTCTTGTGGCTTTCTAAGTTTCAGAATGGTGATGACTTTGGCTTCCATTCTCTCCAGGATGTTGCTCGTCCTATATAGGACATGTGAAGAGGTTTGCAAGTCATCGTTGTCAATTTAATCCCAGGTTCTTAAGGGACCTCAGCACACAGGACATCATATCCCGGTGCCTTGTTGGACTTCGTGGACCCTGATGGCCTTTAACATTTCAGCAACAGTGTATGGTATGTATGTACATATGCATGTTGGACTTCTTTCGCACTGTACGTAGCCAACCGTGCTAATCAGAGGTGTGGGGGAAGGACAATAAACTACACACAAAAAAACTATTCTAAAGAAATTAGTTACCGATCTAGATTTAAAAGTACATAGCCCCAAGTGGCCTCCTAATCTTACACACGATTCAACGCATACGAATCTTCTATTGACTAACTGATGACTCGTTACATGCCGAGTTAAAACGCAACGAGGGGCGACCTCACCAATGGGTGCCTGCGTGAGCCGTTTGGCGTGAGCCGAAGTGACCGACTCTGTGCGTCTGCTCGTGCGACAGATGAGTCGAACAACCCGGCGATAATGAACGAGAGGTGATGGTGATTTTCTTCCGGGCAATTTGTTTGGTGAGCTTGTTCATAGGTGCGTATGAAAAAAACAAGCGCGTGGGAAGTCACAGCGTCCGCTGTGGTTGCGGGCGGTCTGTGCTGTGTTGGCTTTGAGTCACCGAGCTTTCGGTAGCGAGATGTTAACTACTTCGCCTGGTATACAGGAGGTTGTGGGTTCGATCCCGACCCTGACACCTGAATATTTGGAGTTTGCATGTTCCTCCCTGTGCTCGCGTGTATTGTTCTCCAGGTCCTCCGGGTTTTCCCTCCACATTTAGAATCATGCGTATAGAGTATTTGGCTGATATACATTGACACACGGTATGTCACTTCATTTGTGGCCAGATCGCTTCTGAAAAATAACTTTATAGCTCAGTGGGTCTGGTTAAATAAATTGTTTAGTCAAGTTTTACTGCTGGGGTGAGTGAAGTCCAAATCAGCAGTGCGGTGCCCTCGTCTTGCTCACTCGTTCGGATGAACTATTTCAAGAATTGTTCTGTTCTGGTGGTCAACATTGCATTTAGGTTTTCGATACCCCTTTGGGATGTTGGGGGGTTTTTTGGTCAGAATTTTAATGAAATTATTGAAGTTTTTAGGCTCTGGCTCCAGGTTCTTCAATCGAGCTTCGTTTTCCTTTCCATATCCCGGCCATTTGGCCTTTCAAAAGTCCCAACGTGACCGGCTCTTTGGAAAATGTCCTATAATTGCTCATATGGCAATTGCTCATGTAACAATTAGTGGCAGCTGACCATTCTTGTCCTTTGAGATGAAGCCATAAGTCTGGGTTAGAGCCCTTTTTCGATCGGGCTGAGTGAAATGTTTAACACGTAGGCTTTCGCGACCAATGTTATTCATAATCAACGTTTTGGGGTTTAGATCGCGTTTATTTATAAATGTGTCGTAACCCTCCACCACCCGACACGGCCAATCAGTAAAAAATGTGTCACGTTGACAAAGACAAATAGTTCACTGCTTTAGCCCACCGGTGTGTTGAAGCCACAACATTTACAATTTGAGTACGACGTTTCGCTGGTAATTGCAACCAGCATCATCGGGCAATTCGCCAGAATGGTGAGGCTCTCCTGTCTCCCGTTCTTATATAGAGCAGCTGCTCTATATAAGAACGGGAGACACAGGAGAGCCTCACCATTCTGGCGAATTGCCCGATGATGCTGGTTGCAATTACCAGCGAAACGTCGTACTCAAATTGTAAATGTTGTGGCTTCAACACACCGGTGGGCTAAAGCAGTGAACTATTTGTCTTTGTCAACGTGACACATTTTTTACTGATTGGCCGTGTCGGGTGGTGGAGGGTTACGACACATTTATAAATAAACGCGATCTAAACCCCAAAACGTTGATTATGAATGAGTGAAATGTGCCTGGCTGTTTAGGGTCGTACACAAGGAACGTGTCACGTGCCGACGACCATTCCTCGAGTCTCTCTCTGGCTTTGTCATTGTTCGAGTGGACCCTTTGCGTGTGGTGGCTGTAGACGTCACCCCCACATCACCACTTCTGCTGGTGATGGCCATTCCTGACTCGGAGACTTATTACACACATACACGAATGATCATCACATTACCAACTGTGACGGTTATTGGCGAAGCGCTCGTCACTTGTGGTGGTGGACATGAGAGTTAAGTCCTTTAGGCCTGAAGGTGGCGAGGAGGTCACGTGGAGGGTGGTAGGTGTCCTCAACGTGCGTCTCCTGTCACGTGACGACGTCGGTGCTGCTCGGACGAGAGGTCTTTTGGGTGAACCAACTGAACATTGAAGGAGCCCTCGAGACCTCATTGTCACTTTCTAGTAAAATCGCTAAGGGCACAATGCCGATGACGGCTTCTCGAGTGGTAACGGCACTGCTGCTAATACAAAGATCCCCCGTGTAGCCTCAACAGACTGCAGGGGCAAGTGCTGTTAGCGAGCACCTATGAAGGCCGGAATGGCACACGAGGGGGTTGATGGCCAGCTCCACGCCCGGCCGCCTTTCTCTCCCTCAATTGAGGCTGAGTCAATCTAGTGGAGGAACGGTTCAGATAATCGTAACTCGGTGTTGGCCGTGAGCGGGAATCTAACCCGCGTGTCTGTGCCACGTTCGTATGTTTACGTGTGGGGAGCGGTGGTGCAGCAGTTAGCGCACTGCGCCACGAACCTGGCTACCCGAGTTCGATTCCCGCTCACGGCCAACACCGGTGACGGTTATCTGAACCGGGTCCTGGGCTCCCCTAGTTCGATTCGGCCTCAATTGAGTACCTGGCACAGTGTATAAACATTGTCACTGGGGAGACAAAGGCGGTCGGGCGTGGTGCTGGCCACCCACCCCCTCGTGTGCCGTGCCAGCCTTCATAGGTGCTTGCTAACAGCTAACAAACATCACCCAACAGTCTGTTAAGGCTATATGGGACATCTTTGTTGTGTCTGTGTTGTTGTTGTGTGTGTGTTGTTATTGTGTGTGTGTGTTATTGTGTGTTGTTATTTGTGTGTGTGTGTTGTTGGGGGCATAGGTGGTGCATCAGCCAGTCATCTCAGTCATCTCAGTCGACCCGTGGCACCTGGGTCTGCCCCTTGACCTCCTGCCAGCGGGCGTTCGACACTTCACGTGGCCTCAAGGTGCACATGGCCTGGCACAGGCGCCGTGGTGACGTCATCCGCCACTTAGTGGCGAATGGCGGTTGTTGTTGTTGTCAGTGGAGCACTTATGACAGGTGCTGCTCGCTAACAGCACTTGCCCCAACAGCCTGTTAAGTCTACACGGGGGATCTTTGTCTTTGTATCAGGAGAAGTGATTTCGCAATCTCCGCGTCGCTGGCAGCGGGGGGCCTCGTTTGTCAAGATGTCGCAAAGTGCTCCTGTTCACGACACTGACGACTTCGCACCCAATACCGCGCAATGGGGTTTTTTAATTCTCCCCCAAAAAAACATCACAACAAACAATTCTCTCAGCATCTGAATCCGACAGAGGCTCGCGCGAAGTTGATGTCGGCAAATTTTGAAACCGTTAAAAAAATACATTTGTTGTTGTTAAATTGAAAGATTTTCTTTTAATGTTGACGGGCGATGCTTTACGGTAGCCGCGCCGTAAAGCATCACCCGTGGCCCGTAGGCTCCGCCCCCAACCAGCGTCCCCGAGCGAGCAGCGCGCAGAGACCGCGACCGTCTGCAGCCTCTCGGCGGCGCCGCGGGTCGAGGCGGACTGCCCTCGAACAACCACGACGACGACGAGGTAGTGGCGGCGGCGGCGGTGGTGGTGGAGACGGAGTGAGCCGCGGAGTGGAGGACGAGGGAGGGAGGGAGGAGCGGGCTTCGAGTCGGGAAGTCGTCGCCTTTACCGAGGCCGCTGCGAGCGCCTCCCTCTCGCCTAGCCAAGCCCCCCCCCCAGCCACCTCCCTCCGCCCGCTGGCCGCAGTGGAGGCCCCCCCCACCCCAACCACCACCCCTGCCCCCCCCCTCTCCACTCGAGGTTAATCGTAAACGCTTTACGATCAACGAGCTTGTCCCGGGTTAAACTCAACGTCGTCATCACGATCCATGGGGCAGATCGCCCCCGGAGTAGCAGCAGCGGCAGTGGCAGTAGTACTGTAGTAGTAGTACTGTAGTAGTATTGTAATAGTACTGTAGTAGTAGTACTGTAGTAGTAGTACTGTAATAGTACTGTAGTACTGTAATAGGTACTGTAGTACTGTAATAGGTACTGTACTAGTACTGTAGTAGTACTGTAATAGTACTGTAGTAGTAGTACTGGAGTAGTACTGTAGTACTGTAATAGTACTGTAGCACTGTAATAGGTACTGTACTAGTACTGTAGTAGTTTTACTGTAGTACCAGTGCTGTAGTAGTGGTACTGTATAGTACTGTAGTAGTAGTACTGCAATATTACTGTAGTAGTAGTACTGTAATAGTACTGTAGTAGTACTGTAGTAGTAGTACTGTAGTAGTAGTACTGTAGTTAGTCTGTGTCTGCTGTACATTTCGTATTTTTGTTGTTTTCCCCACTTCCCTGTCTGTGTCCCGCAGTGCCAATATGCGCTCAAGTAGTGGACAGTCTGTCCGGCACCGATCTCTTAATGTCGTCGGCAAGCCATTCTCTCTTAGGTCTTCCTCTCTTTTCTGTTCCTTCAATTTTTTTCCCGAACAACAACGCTTTTCACTGTCATGTTGTTGTCCATCCTGTGTTTACGTCTGTGTGTTCGCGTGTGCTGTTTTTGGAAAATGCCTGCTCGACTGGCGTTTGGGAAGTAGTGTCTGATAAGCTAAGCGGCTTTTGGAATGTGTTTGATACCTCGAACGACATTTCGAGGGTGTTTGACATCGCCAGACCTCTGATGCGTTCTCACCCTCGCATGCAATACGAGCTGCTGGGCCGCGGGCTCGTGTGAACTGCGTTTGGGTGTGAAACCTCGTCCCATGCAAACAGCAGTGTCACTTCCAGCAGTTATTTTCACCCGATGTATTGCGGGCTCCTGAACTTGAAATTGTTAAGCAGCATTATAGCCCCGTTTCGTCGATTGCAGAATGTATTGTTTCGTTTTCAGTTGACAAAGTTCACAGCTCGCATCACACGGCGTAATCACTCACCGTGTGCAGACGAAAGGGGTGTTCTTTCTGTTGGTTGCAATGGTTTTTTTTGTGAATTTTTGTTCATTTCGAAGTTTAAATAACACATACAGGACGTTCTAAATACTCTAACGCGCATTACGATTTATAAAAAGTCGATGTAACTTTACACAACTCTAAGCTGGTAGGCACATTAACGGTTGAATCTCAACAGTTGAACGTTGTAACAGCTCACTCTTCATGATCGATTCTCTTTCTCTGTGATGATTTCTCAGCGCCGTCACTGGCCCCCCGTCCCCCGCCATGGGTGAGCCCCGCGAGTCGTCCTCTCAGGGCCAGCGGGAGTCGAGTTGGAGAGTCGCTCGAGACGCCGACGCCGCCACCGCCGTTCGCCCGCCCTCACCGCCGTCGTTCCACTAGCGGCCCGCTCTCTCGCCGTACGCGTCAACTCCCCCCCCATCGCAGGGGACCAGCAGCCAGAGCCAATCTTACACGAGCGCAAGGTGGTGCACAGCAATCGTCCCGCAATGGATCCCTACAACGTCACCATGGACATCATCAACCGGCAGATCAAGGTGAAGCGACGCGGTGGTTTCCCTGTCTTTCCTTTCATTATTTACCGTGGATTTACAATTATAAGAATGCGTGTGTGTTATGTTAAACTTCTCTCGCGCCATGCGTAGCTGACCGTGCTAATTGAGGTGTTTGGGAAGGAGAACAAACTAAAGACAGTGGGAAAATTACTACAGATTCCAAAGAACACAGGATGAGATGTTACTATCCTTTGTGCAAGCACTTCCAAGAGTTCATGAACAGTGAGCCTGGTGAAATTTGGGGAGCGCATCGTCAGTAGTGACCCTTTGGTTCCTAGGGTGTTTCGGCCTTTCATACTATACACCCTCCCCAAAGGCGGCCAGCGACAGGGTGATCAATCCTACGCTTGCGTCCCATTCCCAATTAGTCATAGGAGTTGCCTTGTTGTTGGTAGCCAACATCCCAGTACATTGCTGCATATAAAATCGCTTGGGACTGAGGTATATGTGTATATGTGAAAAGGTCGGTTATAGCTTGAATAGCTTCCTAATATCAGAAGGAAGAGCATTCCAGACGGTCGCAGAAGCGCATCTGGAAGCGCGCTTTGCAGTGACCATCTTTGTTCGATGGTTAGCCAAAAGCCGCTGCTGCAAGGATGACCGGAGTTTGCGTGATGGCTTATGCTCCTTGACGAGATCTGCAAGATGTTGTGGTTCGTTTCTGGTAATTCTAGCCATCGTATATCCGCCCTGACCACTTAACCGTCTGCACCCAGTGTAGTATTTGTGCGTGGTGTAAGCACCTTTTTTAAATCTTGGACTGATTGGTAGATGATCACAAAACTGCCCATTTCACATATCCACCTAGAATGAAGTCCCCAGCGAGTTGATAGGGTCGTAATTTTCCCATTGTTTCAACTGCCGTACCGGGAAATTGAATCAAACTGATGACACCTGGATTGCAAGTCCAGTGTGCTAATCACTTTACACCGTGGCAGCAGCGTCCCTAATGACGCGTAACATTTGCAACAACAAAAAAGAAAGTTCATGATGTTGTGAATCTCAAATGGAAGCAAGATTGATGGGGACACAATCATAAAACTAGTGGAGGAATTTTATGCAGATCTCTGAATTTTTTTAAACTATACCCCTTGTTTTTATGATGAGGATGATGGTCCAGATGTCAGAATTTTAAATATAACCATTGCCCTTGTCGGAGTGGAAAATATCAGAAGATGTATTTATCCTGGAGGAATCCAATGAGCTATAAAGCTCTCTTTCACAGATGTCCAGTCGGGGCACGACAACAACAAACAATTCTTAAACACGATAGGAGTGTAAAGTCTAGGAGAGGTAAACAAAATGCTTTGAAACATAAACAAATGAAACAAAACAATTTTTATCTGAGCAGGTGAAGCCCACTGTAAAATTGTAAAGGTCAACAACCAGTTGGAATAACTGGAATTCATTGACAATGTAGGAGCAGCTGCTTACATTTGTGGACCTATTTACTAATTTTTTTACACACAAATTAGTTACTTCAATCATATAACAATGCCTCAATCTTCAATTCAAGAAGGAAACAACACTGATTTGAGTATAACCGACCCTTGACCCTATTATCTGTGTGGTAGGCAAAAAAGGGGACCGTGCAGAAAAATCCATTGTTGTACTGTACTTTTATGTTCTCTCACGGTCACCAACCTGGTGAAATATGGTCAACAGCTGCCACCTCCCGCACGGTGTGGAGAGCCTCTTTTATCCAGCAGTGGATTTACAAAATTGCTGTACATGTACTTTATTCCCTTATCACATGCATATATAATTCACGAAGGTCACAGAACCAAATATTTTAAATTTTGGATATCGACCAACAATGTGAACAAACTGCATTTAGAAAAATATTTTTTTACCGTAAGACTATATACCGTCCATCACATTATATGAAAGACAAACCATTAAACATTATGCTTGACTTTGCATTGATTCTGTCTGAAACTGGTGACAAATAACGTCCCTAAAGGTGATCCGATATGAACTAAACTTTCGTATTAATTATATAAAGGAATTGCCGTATAGAAACCCAGAAAGATTGATCAAAGGGTGTTTGACATCTGTAGACAATCCAGCGTTAAAATTATTTGCCTTGATGCACGTGCATTATCGTCCAAGGTGTGATGTAATTTCCCGAAGTTACGTGACACGCTGTGTGACGTTATGCCGTTGTGCAGCTCAGAAGGTAACATTTCTTTTAAATGCCTTCAGGGAGCAACGCATGTTGGAAGGGGCTATGAAATCTGTACACAAACATTTTTCATCCACTTTTAGACGATGAAAATGCATTTGGTTCCAGTGGAAACCGATTGAGTAATCCAGGCTAATGAGTAAATTATAACATGGTACAATTACACTGCAATTTCATGTAGAAAGTAATCAAATACGGAAGTCAAAGGAGTCATTTCAGAGTTGCACTATCACTGAGATTGCGGACAGCAACAGAAGATATTTTCTGAAAATTGGATTGGAGAAATGCAACCGTAGTAAACATGCGTGGAGGAAGTGGTTGAGCGGAGTCGGTGCAGGAAAGGCGTGCGGTGTCACCCGGCTTTTGGGTGTGCGGGGTTTCGGCGCGTGCAGGAGCGTGGGGTCCTCTCCTTCCAGCGGAGGCAGCACGTGACGGACGCGATGGTGCGCCGCCTCGGGCTGGAGGCCGAGCTGCAGGTGATGCCACGCTCGCCCACTCGATCGCCCAATCACCAGCCGTGTCACTCCGCTTCGCGGTGGAGAGTCACGGGCGAGATTGAAGAGATTGTCTCGGCACTAACGCCATGCGTGCCAGCAGCGCTGACACCACGGATAGATGAATCCAGGTGTGTCGGCCACTTAGCGATTATACCGTGGTTTCAAGATATTACACCGACTCATCTCCGTCGCCTCGTCACTCATGAATACACAAAAAGCCAATCGATTCGACTCTCAATATTATTTTTTGCGATGCGCGCGGCTAACTTTTGCAGGGCATAACAAAAATTTCCCCCCCTACCCTGGCGTGTGTAATGAGGTCCTTTGAGGGAATTTCGGAAGCAGTTCTGTAGCATCAACTTCCAGCACTGATTTCTAACACAGGGAGGAGCACTGCTTGCTGTGCGAGTTCCAAGTGCAGTTTTCTTCGTCTCGCAACGCAATGCCGATAACACAGTTGGGAGTCTTAATTACGGTAAAGGAAGAAGATCAGCGATGAACCTTGGGCGACTGAGAACGTTTACCGGCAGAGATGCACGAGACTGCAAGTATAGGTGGCCGGCGAGCCTAGGGGTTTCATACCGGCCACCTGAGTGCTACGCAGTTGTCACCACTGAGCATCTTGGTTGGACAACAGGTGTCAGTCGCTTGAAGCTGACTTGTTTGATAGTCTAAGCCAGCGGGTTCAGTGGTTCATTCGCCGTGCTACGATCCCAGCGGGCTGGGTTTGATTCCGGGCCATACGTGACGTGAGTGGCGAGCGCTATCTTAACCTTGTCCCGGGTCTTGCGTAGGTTGGCTCAGCCTTCAGTGAATGGTGTGGGGAAACAAGACGGCCCAGCCTTGGGTGGTAACCACACCATCCCTTCTTGTGCTATGCCGTCCCTTAATAAACGCTCGCTCATAGCACTTTCCTTTCGGTCTCCAAGGCTAAATTGGGGGGATCTCTATCACTGTGTTCCCCTTTGCAGTCACGGCCGTTGACAGCAGGGAGGGGCCCCATGCAAGTGCAGCGAGCCGTGGAACGGCTGCACTGATTTGCACTCTCTCCGTTTCTCCGTAGGGTCACACGGGCTGCGTCAACTGCCTCGAGTGGAATGAGAAGGGAGAGTGAGTCATACGCACGCAGCAGCAGCAGCACAAACGCACGCCGGTCTGAACGTCGGTTTTCTTATTCAGGAACCGTCATTGTGGATGTTGGGCCAATTCCTTTTCACTAAAGTGGATCATGTGTGTTGTCCTTCCCCCGCACCTCCGATTAGCACAGTTGGCTACTTACGGTGCGAAAGAAGTTCAACATACACACACACACATACGAACCGGTAGTAGCTGGCAACCGCCAACCCGTCAATACTTGCATGCTTACGATTTTTTTAAATTAGAATATTTCACCTGGAAATGAACTTTGAGATGGAACTTCTTGTTCGCAAGGGGTTAAACATATATATAGGAAATATGTACACTGGAGCGCCTTTGCAAAATCACTGCGTCAATTGAGGACGTTTATCACACATTATTTAAAGTTACAATTACTGCACAGCATTTTTGTGGCGTATATGTTAATTTGTCAGTCTGTGGAGGGGACGTGCCTTATTAACTCAGCGTGAAGCCCTTGATTGCCGTGTAGCTTGGCACACTGAGTACAAATTCGCCTTAATTTAGCCTCTCACGGCCGCTGCTGGAACAGGCGCAATGCCACGGGCGTGTGTGAGCCTCTGAAGCCACGCAGCGACATATGAAACTGCCGGAGTGGTGCTTCAAGGATGTGCCCATGGTTATCATTGAGCATGGAAGCCAGGTTGTGGTGGTGGTGTTGTGACTAGCAGTAGTAGCTTTTGGAGGACGTGTCCAATGTGCAAGTTTGGAAGCAAGCACGGTTCGCCGTGATGACTTCGCAGTGTAGATTTTTATTCTAATATCGACCATGATCTCTTGTTTTCACGAATGTTCTCGCTATCGATTGCAGTCTTTAATGTTGACCAAATAACAATTGTAGGATTGCATTGGTGGTATTGTTTTGCATCACAATCCTTTTTAAAATTTAAGTGTACCGGTATATTAGGCTGACATTGCTGGTAATAGCTCTTCAGAGCAGAGGGTGGAAAACTGATGAAAGTTTCGATCACACTTGAATCCGGTGCTTGGAAAGTACTGGAGATATTTCACAAAGTTGACATGACGGTTTTAAATTCCCGCACGAAACATTCTCCAGAAGCAGGTATTGAGCAGCTAACACACCCTTGCACTGCTAAGAACGAACGCATACACCCATTTTAATTAAATTAATTTGTATCGATGTGGCACTGCAGAACTGGGAGGTGAACTGAAAATGGCACCAAAGTAAACAGGCAGACTTCACATCCCGCCAATATCTGTCCCTCCACGTGAGCAAATAAAGGGTTTTTTTTCATATCCCTTTCGACGCACGACCTTCTGGGAGTGCGCAATTTCAGCAGCATTGGTTCAACACAGGTAAACTGTGGACTGATTTTGACATTCCGTGTCTCATCAGCAGAGTCGGGCTTGCTTGCAAAACTCGCTGGTGAACTGGCAGATGTTTATAGATTGAAGGAGCGATCGCAATGCTGGCCTTTAATGACGGCACGGTCTGCGTCCAAAGCCTCCTGCTCCATAATACAGGTTACTAGTACAGTACACCGGTGTACTGTACTACTAACCAATTGGCATGTTCTGTTCACGTGACAAACCTTACTAATTTCCTGTGTCGGGTTGTGGCGGGTTTAGCGACGCATTTATATTTACGCGATCTAACCTTAAAAAACCTGTGTTATGGATATTGGTCACGAAAGTCACCGTGTTAAATCCTCCTACCTCGCCCCCCCTTTCCCGTTCCACCCCACTCTCCCAACTTACCTCCTTGTTCGCTTCGTCCCCCACCTCCCCCTCCCTCCTCCCCCCCTGTGCAGGATGCTCGCGTCGGGCTCGGACGACCAGCACATCATCCTGTGGGACCCGCTGAGGCACCGCAAGCTGCTGCAGATGCACACGGGACACACAGCCAACATCTTCTCTGTCAAGGCATAACCCGCACTCACTTACACTAAACTAAACTAGTTTTATTTTACCAGGTAAGGCCCACTGAGCAATGTAGATGTTATCCAGAAGCCACCTGGCCACAAATAATAGCTCAACGAAGTGGCTTATCTCATGGAAATTTACAGCAGTCAAATACTCTAAAAGCCACGTTTCTAAATGTGGAGGGAAAAACCATAGGACCCGGAGAAAAATTCACACGACCACGGGGAGAATACGCAAACTCCAAATATATAGGCATCAGGGTTGTGATCGAACCCACGACCTCCTGTATACAAGACGAGGAGTTAATATTTCTCCATTGTGGCACCCCCCACTCAGCATGGGGCGATCCCCTTCGAACGCTCGTAGACCGCCTGGGAAACGGCTGTTAGCGAGCACCTGTTGAATCAGCATGGCATGGTGCACAAGAGGTATGCTGTGGATGGCACCACTCCTGTGTGCTTTTGTCTCCCCAATGTCGATGTTTACACACCACACCAGATTCCCGATTAAGTCCGCGTTAATTAATTTATGCTGTTTTGTATTGTCCTGCACACACCACTGTCTCACTCGTATTGTTCATCTCGTTTAATCCGTTCCATTTGTCTCATTTGTATTATCTGCCTAGCTCGTATCGTCCCTCTCTTACATCTGCCTCGTTTGGACGGCAAACAATTCCGACGGCTTGTGAACAAGCAGCTCGTCGATTGCGTCGATTGCTTCGATCGCTTCTGACGGGGAAATGGCCGCACGCGCACCGCTAACCGTAAAACGACTCGGCGTGCGTGTGCGCAGTTCTTGCCGCACTCGGGCGACCGCCTCGTGGTGACAGGCGCCGCTGACTTCAAAGTGCACGTGCACGACGTCGTGAGCAAGGAGACGCTGCATATCTTCGACAAGCACACTAACCGCGTCAAGCGCATCGCCACGGCCGCCTCCACGCCGCACATGTTCTGGAGCGCCGGCGAGGATGGCACCATCCGGTGGGTACCATCTCCCCCCCCCACCTGCAATGAGGCATGGCCCTGGGAAGGAGAGGGATGGAGAGGGAGGGAGGTGGGAGACATTGGGATGCAGGGGAAGGTGGTTGTAGGGAGGGTGGGAGGTATGATAGGAGGTAGTGGGAGATGGATGCTACGAGGTAGGTTGAGGTAATGGAAAGGTGGGTGGTAGGTAGAGGGAAGTGGTGGAAGTGGGTGAGAGGTAAGGGAAGATGGTAGGAGGGAAGGGAGGGTGATACGGACAGACAGAGCTAATGCATAAATCCTTCCAACTTTCTTCGCAAACTGTTAAATCTTCAGTTTAACACTCAGGCTTTCGCGACCAATATCCATAATAGAGGTTTTTGGGTTAGATCGTGTAAATATATTAATGTGTCGTTAAAACCCGCCACCACCCGACACAGCCTAGCTCGTGAGTTGTTGCTTAAAGCAGAAGCAACACATCTACACCTCTATATAAGGAACGAAACAGTAAGACTTCTCCACAAATCTGGCTGTCGCCTGATGAAGCTAGTTGTAATTACTGGCGAAACGTCGTACTCCGTTTGTAAATGTTGTGGCTTGGCTCTCCAACACACCGGTGTGCTGTACTAGTGACGAATTGGCACGTTCTGTTTACGTGACAACCCTTACTAGTTGGCTGTGTCAGGTGGTGGCGGGTTTTAACGACACATTTAGATATTTTCGCAATCTAACCCAAAAACCTCTATTATGGATGTGAAGTCTTCGAGGGGCCTCTGTGCTCCGTTCACTACCACCGCCAAACCACGCGTGACCCCGTTGGTGGCGTCCTCTCCCCCCGACCGCGTGAACCCCGCTCTCCCCCGTCACCCTCCCTGTGGCGGCGGAGCAGGCAGTTTGACCTCCGCGAGAGCAGCAACCGCTCGCAGGTGCTGGTGGACTTGACATGGTACTGCAGCTCGCAGGTGGAGGCCAAATGCCTCGCCATCAACCCAAGCGACAACACGAGCCTCGCCGTGGGCGCCAACGACCCCTACGTGCGCCTCTACGACATGCGAATGATCACGCAGCACAGGTCAGGTTCTATCAGATCGTCGAGTAAGCGGCATTAATAGCTTGAGCTAACCTGAAGAAGCAGCCGTCCAGTGAGGACCGGCGTTGTGTTTGACTTGCTGGTAGCGCGTTGTGTTACGCCCCTGTGTTTGACTTGCTGGTATCACGTTGTGCTAGGCCCCTGTGTTTGATTTGCTGGTACCGCGTTGTGCTCCGCTCTTGAGACCTCTGTGTGGCCCCCCGTTTGCCGCCCGACACCCGCGCAGGAAGTCGTGCCGTCTGAACGCCCCTAGTGGCACGGGGGTGGAGCTGGACTCGCAGTACAGCAAGCTTCCCGACGGTGCCGTGCAGTACTACGTGGCGGGTGAGCCCGCTGCCAGTGCCCGTAGCTAACAGAGTGTCCAGGCGGTGCAATTCCACCCGGGTGGCTACAGGCTCAGGAATGAAGAGAAGGAAAATTAGATATGCCCCCCCCTTTCCCCCATTTTGTTCTTTGCACCGTGGCTCGTGCCAACCTTGCTACTAGAGGCGCCACGGTGGCTAGGAGATGTTACCTCCCTCGCCTGGTATGCAGGAGGTCGTGGGTTCGATCCCGACCTTGACGACTGCTATATATTTGGAGTTTGCATGTTCTCCCTCTGGTCGCGTGGATTTTTCTCCGCATCCTCCAGTTTTTCTCTTCACATTTAGAAACATGTGTTTTGAGTATTTGAGTGCTATACATTTCCACATGATTAGCCACTTGTTTGTGCTATAATTTGTGGCCAGGTCGCTTCTGAAAAAGTAATACATAGCTTAGTGGGCCTTAATGTAAATAGTTTAGTTTTAGTTTGTAGTCATATATTTGCATGCATCGCCACATGATGTAAACAATCATCGCTTCACTTGGCAGCACAGGCAGGAGTGAACTTGGTCTGCTAGTGGAGTGTCGTGTACCCAACGGTTGCCTGGGCCATGAAGAGGTGTGGGGGAGGTACGACGACTCCGGTTTCCTTGTCCGTACAACAAACCCAAAGAGCGACGCTCGCCGTGTCCGCACACAGAACTCGCAACGCTCAGCGGCGAGCCTCAGGGCCCGCCACCTCCCTCCGCTCGTCACTCCTTCCACCAGTCCCCCCCCCCCACCCTGGTCGTGACACTCAACCCAAACGCTGCTCGCCTGCCTGCCCACCCCCCACCCCCCACTCCCCATCTTCCACCCAGGTCACCTCCCGTCAAAGCAGACGGACTACCAGCGCAGGTTCCGCACGCTCGCCGTCACGTACCTCACTTTCAGTCCCGACGGGAACGAGCTGCTCGTCAACATGGGCGGAGAGCAGGTGTGTGCGTGTCGGCCCCCGTGCCTCTCCCCACGGGCATGCCGTCGCTACGTTCGGTTGCGGGAATTGTTGATGCGGAGAGTATGGGGGCGGCCACGGTGGCAAGATGTTAACTACCTCGCCTGCTATGCAGGAGGCCGTGGGTTCGATCCCGACCTTGATGCCTGCTGTATCGAACCAAGCAAACATCCCTCTCTAAAACCATCGGCGGCTAGACCTCCCAGACTCTAAAGTCTTCCCAAAATCCATAAAGAAGGCACCCCGCTACGACCCATCGTGTCGACGATAAACTCTCCTACGTACAAACTAGCCCGTTTTCTATCAGATACTCTGCTCCCCTTCACAGGCAAGACCTCTTCGGCAGTACTCAACTCAACCCAATTAGTCTCTATGGTTAAGGACATGGTACTATCTCCTGATGACATCCTCGTCAGCTTTGATGTAGTATCTTTGTTCACCAAAGTCCCAGTACCGGACACCCTAACAATAATTGAGGACTTAGTCCAACATGGATTGAATTCTGATGTACCTGCGCTGGTTAGGCATTGCCTCACCAACACTTATTTTACCTGGAATGGCACCTTCTACAAACAGAATGAGGGTACCCCTATGGGCTCCCCCTTGTCACCAGTTATAGCCAACATGTTCATGGAAAAGTTTGAATCAGACGCCATCCAGACATCCACCCTGCGTCCTTCCTTGTGGAAGAGGTATGTGGACGATACTTTCGTCATCTGGCCACATGGCCTCCCAGCATTGAACCACTTCTTGGACCAAATCAATTCTAGACACCCATCCATCAGATTCACCATGGAAGTGGAGAAAGACGGTAAACTACCATTCTTGGATATTCTGTTTGAGAGGAGGCCTGACGGATCCTTGGGACATTCTGTCTACAGGAAAGCCACCCACACAGATTCCTACTTGAAACCGGATTCCCACCACCACCCATCTCAAAAGAATTATCTCATCAAAACGCTATACCACAGAGCCCATGGCATTTCTGACCAACACCACCTGGCCGGTGAATTAAGACATGTACATCGGGCCCTCAGGATTAACGGATACTCTGACCGCACTATCCGCCAAGCTGTTTCTCCCACCATACAGAAACAGCCACGTGAAACTCCGACCAAAACTATCACTGTTGCCATACATAGCAGGCGTGACCAAAAAGATCTCCAAAATTTCTAAACAAACATAAGATCCAAGTCCGATTCAGTACAGTGCATAAAATCCGTGATTTGATTCCATCTGTGAAGGATGTCGTTCCTGACTTATACAGTATCCTGGAGTCTACAAATTGAGTTGCATTTGTGGTGATTGCTACATTGGAGAAAGGAAACGTCATGTTTCTGATTCGTGTCCGCGAGCACAAGTCAGATCTGAAACACGGCAGAACTGATCTCGGCCGTTGCCGATCATTGCTACAACTCGGTGGGCTCTCATGAAATTGTATTTTCCGAGACCAAGGTTCTCTGCAAACCTCCTGGCTACCATCAAAGGTTTGTACACGAAGCCATACAAATATACAAACACAGACATAATTTCAACCGTGATGACGGTTACAAACTGAGTAATCATTAGAAAGATGTGATTAACCATGCAAAAAAGATTTAACTACACTTATTTGCCAATCTTATTTGACAGACAACCATCACAGTTTTACCTTGTTTAGTGGTGGTCTCCCTGTTACAGGTTGAGTCACAAACCGCACCTCTCCATAACAAAGGCTCAACCTTTGTTATGCAGTCTATTCTTAGTCTTAAGCCTCACCTTACCATATTAATAAAAGTATGCAGCCCTTGCCCCACCACCTTCTCCAACCATTATATAAACGGAGTGGTAGCTTCTGCAATCTCTCATTTACTTGATACAGCTGTCGTGGCTGTGACGGTACCACCTGAAGACGGAAGCTTGTGTTGCCTCCGAAACGTCGTGATTTTTATTTTTATTTACTTTTTAATGTTTTTACCTACGTGACTTTACCGAAAAAACCTAAGAATATGAATCATTGCAGTCACGAAAGCTTCAAATCTAGAATGTATATTTGGAGTTTGCGTGTCTTTCTCCCTGTGGTCACGTAGATTTTTCTCCGGGTCCTCCGGGATTTTCCCCTCCACATTTAGAGTCGATGTGCGTTTTAGAGTATATTTGGCTGCTATAAATGTCCACACGATGATAAGCCACTTCGTTGAGCTATCGTTTGTGGCCAGGTTGCTTCTGAAAAAAGAGCTACATAGCTCATTGCTGCCTTACCCTGTTAAATAAAAGTAGTTGAGATTTAGTTCGTGAGTGACAGATCGAAGTGTGGGGCTGATGCCACCGGGTGTCTCCGCATGGCCGGCAGGTCTACATGTTCGACCTCCACAGCCGCCAGCGCCCGTACTGCTTCTCTGCTGCCTCGCGACGCCGGGCAACGCCGGGCGGTGAGCCAGCGCACTGGACGACAACTCGCATCACCATAATTTTCTCCATCTCAATAATCATCTCAATCCTCTCAATCATCGGGTGCAATCTCCTTTTCTCAACCGTGTTACCCGCTGAGGTCGTGACAGGTCTATTTTTTTCACTCCGATTGCTAAATGCCCCCTGTACCGTAATGTGCACAAATGCCTACTTTATTGAGGGCGGTATCGGCACGTAAAAATAATGATTGATTTCATCATCTCAATTGTCACTGGTGGCCATGGTCAATCCGCTGCATTGATGAAGGCCTCCCTGAAGCCGCCGCCATATCGCTCGGTCCTGCGATGTAACGATCCGCGCCCACCATCTACGCACGAGCCGATTTTCGTCGCTCCATCTCCGCGGCGTGATCTCGGTCCGGCGGAGGCGCTCGCCCAGCAGCAGCTTAACACAGAAGGCCGCGCGTCACGTATACGCCCGTAATCGGCGCTGCGCTGCCGCACTCGCAGCCGACGTGCAGAACGGGAAGCAGGCAAACGGCGTCTCCAACGGGCTGCACCTGCACAGCAACGGCCTGCGCCTGTCCGACGAGCCCCAGCAGCCGCCGCCGAGGTGAGTGGGCGCGCGGCCGCCGCCGTGGCTCTGCGTCTCCCACCACAGCCACGGGTTGCGCACACTAAAAATCCAGCGGCGGCGATTTGAGTCGCAGTTTTCGGCACGCTGCGCGGTTAAAACTCTCGATTGTTACCGTTGCTGTGCCGTGCTCCGCTAGCCCCGAGCTGCCGCCGGCCGTGGAGAAGCTCAAGCAGCTGGCGAACGCGGCGTTTGGGCGCCAGCAGTGGCCCGTGGCCGTGAGCCTCTACAACCGCGCCGTCGCGCTTTGCCCCACCAACTCCGTGCTCTACGGCAACCGCGCCGCCGCCTACATGAAGCGCAAGTGGTGAGCACCCCGCACCCCCCTGCTGCACCCCCCTTCTCAGCACCCCTCTGCTGCCCGCATCCCTCTGCACCGCAGCCCCCTACACCGCACCCCTTCGCCCCGCACCCCCCTGCTCCACACCCCCTGCCTCTCACCCCCCTGCACCGTCCCGCTGACTGATCTCTCTCTTGGTCTTTTTGCCGGTTCCATTTTTTTGTTCTTGGTAGTTCTTATAACAACACAATCAAAGTTAAATACACACACGTACTGTCATCTCGGCATCAGGCGGTGATCGAAATGGAGCGTTAGAATTCCTGCTACGAAACCCGATTGGTGAGCAATCGGAAGAACCGTTCTCAAAGGCGGCGGTACTATACGTGTTTGGTGTTTTGAGAAGTGCCAGTGTGGCGTACCGCTGTCTACCGGCGTACAGTTGTACACCAGTATACGAGCGTACTGCTGTGTGCCGACGTACCGACGTGGTACACCGTGGTACGGCGTACCACAGCGTACCGCCGTGTACCAGTGTATGACCGGATCGCTGTGTACTGGCGTACCACCGGTGTACCAGCGTATAGCGGCGTACGAGTGTACCTCGGCATGTACCGACCCACCACGACTGCCGGTCGTCGCGTGTTCTCGCCGGCTCACGACGGCGATGTCGGCGCAGGGATGGCGACCAGTACGCGGCGCTGCGCGACTGCCGTGCGGCCGTGGCGCTCAACCCTTGGCACCTGAAGGCGCACTTCCGGCTGGCGCGCTGCCTGTACGAGCTGCGGCACGTGGGCGAGGCGCTCGCCTGCCTCGACGACTTCCGCGGACGCTTCCCCGAGCAGGCGCGCAGTAGCGCGTGCGACGCGCTCGACCGAGACATCAAGGCGGCGCTCTTCTCCCGCACGGATAGTGGTGAGTGGGTGGGGGGGGTGGACCCCACGTGGGCGATACACGTGTCCCACACAACTAATGCGTGTAGTGCCACGCGCGTGTAGTACCGTGTGTAGTACACGCAGATCACTTGCTGACCCCCACCAAGGAGACGTGTTGCCGTGTCGCATTCTGCCACACAGCTTAGATTGCAACCTTTCCCACAGAGCAAGCCTGGACATGTTTCTCAGTCAGCCTGGGTCTATTATCAGCGCTGTGTAGTCCACTGTGATCCAGTTCAACGCAGCAACACCGGTGTCAGATTTCAGTACAAATCATTTCCTGCCACCCATACAAGAGATACCAATTCACGGAATGTCCGGATCAAACCCGGACCAGTGGGCATCCTACGCCGAGATTACCAGCGCCCCCCCCGATCGCGTCACGGAGTCGACCGACATGCCGCCGTCGCCCTCGCCCATTTCCCCGCTTCCCCACAGACGACGAGAGGAAGGCAACTGACCCGGCGGGTGGTGGCGGCGGGGGCGGCGGGGGCGTCGGGGGCGGCGGCGGAGCAGGGAGTGGCGGCGGGCGCGTGCGAGGGTTTTCCGAGGAGGAGCTTCGTCTGCGTGAGCACAGCTACGACTACAAGCTGCGCTACTGCGGCCACTGCAACACCACCACCGACATCAAGGAGGCCAACTACTTTGGCAGGTGAGGCCCCGTCGCGTCTCGCCCGCACCGCCGCTCTCGGGTAGGCCATGTCACAGCAGGTGGTGGCGTGGGACAGGCACGTTTATCTTCTTAGTCTGAACCGGTGAGAAGCCGTGCGGGTTTTGGACGGTGGATTTCCTTCCGTCGTTCTTCTCCCACAGGTCAGCTAAAGCGGTCAAACGTTAAGCGTGGGTTTAGTCGGCCTTAGTTAATGTCAAATAATGTTCTCTTTGCTTGCTCCACCATTACAGAGTGAATTTATTGTTCAATTCATTGGGGCGTGCAAAACTTCGCTGTAATGTATCATTGTACCATCATTTTTTTGTAACTGCCAACCTTGCTCTCGGTATAAATCTCTACTAGCTTCAACAGACCCAAATCGACTCTGACTACGATCCGCGGCATGCGGCGACCTGCTGCTGTCCGCTCCGCGTGTAGACCTCATGCGCGATACGGCCAGCACAGTTTCGGGGTCTCCAGCCAAAGAGCTGGAACACGTTACCAGATCATGTTCGGGATCCATCCCTGAGTCCGAGCAAGTTCCGCAACAGACTTAAAACGGTGTTGTTATTTAATCTTGATTTGAAACTTTCGTGACTGCAGGAATCCATACTCACATAGGTATAAAATAAATAACGACGTTTCAGGCGCAACACAAGTGTCCGTCATCAGGTGATGACGGACGCGTGTGTTGCGCCTGAAACCGACAGAACCAAAGGGTGTTGTTGTTGTTTTAAAGAGCCTACTTCAACGTGTGATCAATGCGCGTTCGTGATGGACGGGACTCGTATAAGAGTGCGCAATATCAAATGTTCTTTCTTTTAGTTTATACAGCATGACCCTACTCCTCCATACTAACTTAACAGACTTTTGAAGTTAAACGTGGGTATGTAAGCAAAGGTAACAATCTTGTCATAAGGGGGTAGCAGCAGGAGTACTGGAGCGTGTGCCAAGGTCAGCAATAGAGGCCGTGTCTTATTGTCAATCATCTCACGTGAGTCGACCCAACAACGTCGGGCTTTGTCCCACGACCTCCTGCCAGCAGCGATCCTTCCACACTTCATGTGACGACCTCAAAGCGTACCTAGCTTGGCACAAGCGCCGTGGTGACATGGTAACGAATGACGGTTGCTGCTGCTGTTGTAGTTTTGTGCGCGTGTGCCCGTGCGTTGCTGCGTGGCGCCTTGTCAGCGCGGGCCAGTACGTGGTGGCCGGCTCGGACGACGGCTCCTTCTTCCTGTGGGACAAGGCGACGTGCAACCTGCTGCGCGTGCTGCGCGGAGACGAGTCCATCGTCAACTGCCTGCAGCCGCACCCCTCGGCCTGCCTGCTGGCCTCGAGCGGCATCGACCCCGTCGTCAGACTCTGGGCCCCGAGGCCGCAGGTGCGGGGGGAACCCGGGGGGGAAGTGCGGGGAAACCCGGGGGGATACCGGGGGGCATGTGTGGGGGAAAATGGAAGGGTACCAGGGGGGAACCCGGGGGGAAAGTGTGGGGGTAACCGGAGGGATGCTTGGGGGAACCATGGGGAACCCAGAGGGACATAAGGGGGTAACTGGAGAGATACCGGAGGGAAACTGTGGGAGAAAGCATTTGAGTGTTATCCTCTCGTACGCATGAGTCTCTTCCACACTGTAAAACACTGAGTGGAGAAGGAAAAAGGTCGTACATCTCGAAGCAGGAAATGTTTAAAAAAAGTCTCGACTGATTGAGGCTCTCCCGGATAATCGAGCGCCTGTTATTGCAGCACCTCATCGGCCCTGGGTGGCGCTACGGTCAAAGAGCGCTCGGCTCACAGTCGGAAGGTCACAAGTTCAAATCCTGATCGTGGGTCAACTCGGCCCTTCATCGTTACCTCTTTGGAACTTGAACATGGTCGTCTTGTAGACCGACTGGCCTGTGTCATGGTAATCTGGATTTCTCACCGCTGGCTTAGGGCTGCAAATTGACATGAGCACAGCCCTATTGCTTGCACCAGATATTTTAACCCTGGGTGCCACGTGTCGTCAAGCCCTCATATTTGATTCTCTTTACCCTATCTCCCCATGCCCTTGTCTCATGTCTCTTTGTCCACATGTTTCTGTCTGTGTCCTCGGGTCCTTGTGCCCCTGTGTATCCCTCTGTACCGTCTCCCTGTGTCTCCCTGTGTCTCCCTGGCTCGTCTTCCTTCGTTTAATTTCCCCATGTCCATTGGTCTCTGTCTCCATTTCTCTATGTCTCCATGTATCTTTGCCTTTTCATCCCTGTATTCCCATACTCCTATATCTCTATGCCCTTGCGTCCCCTTGTCCCCATTCTGCCGTGTTCCTGTATAGCCATGTCTTTGTGTCCCAACATGTCTCCTTTTCCCCATGTGTCCCCCCGTACCCCACCCCCCCCACCGTGTCCTCCCGCCCCATCCCCGTGTCCCTCGGGTCACTCCTCGTCACCCCCGTGCGTCTTTGCCCCTGCGTGTCTCCCCCTCCCCTCGTGTGGCTCCCCCCCCCATGTCCCCCCCCCGTTGTCCCATCCATGTCCCCCCGTGTCCCGCTGTGTCCCCCCGTCACCTCCGTGTCACCCCCCATGCGTCTTCGCCCCTGTGTGTCTCCCTGTGTCCCCCCCACCCGTCACCCCCTGAGCGTCTCCGCCCCTGCGTGTCTCCGTGTCCCCCCCCGCCATGTCCCCCCCGCACGTGTCCCCCGTGTCCCCCCCATGTCCCTCGTGTCGCGGCAGAACGGCTTTGAGAATGAGCGCGTGGTGGACGACACGGATGCCGTGTGCCTGGCGAACCAGCGGCGCATGAACGCCGACCCCCTGGAGGTGATGCTGCTCAACATGGGCTACCGCATCACGGGCCTCACGGGCTCCGAGCTCGGCTCGGACGACGACTCGGGCTCCGAGAGCCAGGTGCAGTGCCGCACTACCTGATCACGGGGTCGCGCGGAGGGGGCGGGGGGCAGCGTGGGGGTGGGGGGTTGGTGGGGGGAGCGTTGGGTGCGGGAGAAACAGCTGGCGCTGTGGTGGGAACGACCGTCACGCGTGCAGCTCTCGCGGTGTCACTCTTCTATCGCTGCTGCTGCTGCCGCGGTCGCTCTTCCAGCAAACTTGACTCGCTGACTCACTCCCGTCGCTTGCTCACCGGTGGTCAGTCACCTCCTTGTCACTCTCTTCTATCGCCACTCCCGTGGACACTGTTCCCGTGGACTTCATAAACAGATTCTTCCATCATTGTTGAGGTCTTCCAGACGTCGACTTTGATCTCACCCCACACCGTGTTCAACCTCCACACGACCGATAGCAACAACGCACGTACCATCCGCTCGCTCGCTCGCCACACCGCAGTTCACCGCTCTTCCCTTTCGGCTTCATCCCACACACCGTTCCACTACGAAATTCCCTCCCATCGTCACTTTTTCCCAAGCTCTTGTAATGATCTTGCTCAATTCAAGAAACGCTTTACACTCGTAAGCCATTATAACTTGGGCAGTGCTGTTGGTTTGGGCCTTTTGGGCCTGTGCTCAGCCCAGCCAATGTGCCTCAACAAAAAAGATGCCATCGCTTCTTTCCTTCTGCCAGATCCCTCGGCTGTTGCACAGTTGAAACTCGACCTGCAATGACCGCTCTCACAGCCTCGTCACCTCCACCACCACCACCATGTCTAGCTTGAGCTCTACCCCGTGGTCACCGTGCCACTCCACTGCCCACCTCGGTCACCTTCCCTCCTCCACCCTGCACACGCGTTCCCCCACCAATCACAAACAAACTCCTCTCTTCTTCCTTCTTTACATCCACATCGCTTTCCTGCCGTCCGCTGTTCCCAACCACCACTTTGCTTACCCTGTCCCCCGCCACCAACTTCCCATCGTTTTCAGCATGCGCTCACATCAAAAAGGCCAGAAGCTTTGGTAAAGCCCAGAGTATAATAGATCCAGACGAGGGGGAGTTTAGAGATATCTTCACGCTTAGAATAAAGCCCCTCTGGTGGAAACCCAACTGTGAACGGTGACAAATGAAGAGGGTGGCGGGGGGGGGGGAGTGAGAGGAGCAGAGTTGGAAATTACGTAGCTGCTCTTGCCGGATGAATGCAGTAAGCCACCTGACGCCGTTTGAGCTGAACGGCCGTTTGCTTGCCGCTCACAGAGCGACGGTTCTTCTCACCGCAGCGACAGTCTCCTGTCCGGTCTCAGCGGCGGCCCTGCCCCCCCCCACCTCCTCCCACCTACCTTTGCTTTTGTTTGCGCGCCATTAATTTGCACGTGACCGCCAGGGCCAGGCCAGAGAGTTCATGGAGAGAAGGTTCTGTGCGCACGCTGAGGCTGCCCACAGATTCCTCGTTAGGGCCTTGTTTTGCTAATATGAAATGTTTACTCGCAAGAAGGAAATCGGGATGAATGAGGCAATATGTTTGTCTTGGTCGGCCCGTATTGTAAAACAAAACATTGGCAGCGTTATCATCTCTCGTTGGTTCATGGCTCGGTCGTAAATAATTATATTTATTTCAAAACAGACCCCGTACTTACCTGACAGTCCGGTCTTTTTACATTTACCAATATAACGACGTTTAGCAAGCTTCAGAAATATTCCCTTACTGCAGACCGACGAGGGATGACAACCTGGTAGACGAGACAACACGTTTGTTGACGCTCACGGATTGACGTTTGAGAAACGCCATTCCCATTTTGCTAAAGGATTTAAATGCAAAGTACAGAGACTTATATGTACATTTTGCGTTACGCACTTGCGAGTGAAAATACCGTTAGGGTTTTCACAATAGCTGCATGAGTTGACAAAAAAAAACATTTTGCGAATAATTTAATATTAGCGTCTTAACGATGACTCGGAAGCGTTGTAGTTTTTTTCCCCGTTTAAAATAAAATGCGAGTGATTCCGGTGTGGTGGTAATCGTACGAGAATTTGTAATATTGCGCTTGCTATGCAACAAACGGTTGTTAATCCACGGAGGCTGGGACACTCGCCACGGCCCGTTGCTTTACCCACGGCACCTCGCAGCCACCCAGTGCAACAGTCCCAGGCAAAGAGAGACACTCCCGCGGTGGGGAAGGATGTGTGATGGGGCGCCTCCTCTGCAGAATGTCAGATTTACACCCAGACCACGTGGGATTAAATCGCCAACACCCATAGGGGGAAGTCGCACCGCCGTGACGGTTGTGGGCAAGGCCATGATGCACGTGGGCTAGTTATTTTGGTGATCGTCGCCAGCAATCGCCACCGGCAAAGCCAGTTGCCAAGAACAGCGCTCGTGACTCCATTGGAGTCACGGAGCTTTGTCTAGCCCAGGGGTCGGCAACCAAAATAACAAGGAAAGAGCCTTTTTCTTTTTGAATTTAGTAAAAAAAAGACTCAATATTTCAAGGGCCGCAATGCAATATGCATACGAGACGGGAGACGGTGGTTCTCAATAAATAACGTCACGAAAGCAGTCCTTATAAATCGCAGCATGCGGTTCTGGAACCTCAGGTTGCCGACCCCTGGTGTAGCCAATCGGTGACCTGCTCAAACGACAGCCCTGAACCAGTGGTGGAAATACCTCATTCCTATGGCAGGTGTGAGCGTCTCCATAGGACAACCACTGTTGACTTCCATACGAAGTGGTACTTGTTTTATGGAGCCCAGAGCGACGATGGGCCAAGTCAATCCCCCAACCAGGGTTTGAACTCGTGACCTCATGATTGCGGGCCGCTCGCCCTACCGCTTCACCACCTGGCCGATCTAGCAAACTAAAACAGTTGCTTGCAGAGTCGACGATGAGCAACGACTTGCCAACATCCAATCAGATATCACAACCTGGTGATATCTGATTGGATGTTGCCACCCATGTGCACACTAGGGAGCAAGCAGTTATCAGATTTGTCCAGAAGCGTAGGAAACCGTTGCTGGTGACAATTCCTGGCGACAGTTGCCCTAAAATGACCATCGTGCATCCTCTGGCCCTCGCGACAGCGACGGCGTCTCCCCCACCCTCTCCTGTAGATTCCAGTGCCAGAAGAGCGTCGGTGCAAGGTTGGAATGAGTTGTTGAGTTGCGTTGGTGGTCGCAATTCTTGTTGCTTTGGTCGCATTACTAAAACCCGGACGTTTTGACAATTTGCGGTCTTTAAACGTTGCCAAGAAACCACAGACGCAGGCAAACCTCTTCTATTCGCGTACCAAGCATTGATAAATCCGACCTTTGTATTTTTTTGCTGTACAGTAGTAAATGCTAATATATGTTAAATATATATATAAAATATATCCAGCGAGTCATGTGTCCCTTTGTATTTGCAAATTACGCAACGATACTACGTTTGGTTGAACGTACAACCGCTGCCCAGGCCTTGGCGCGCTGTGCGTGCGTGCGTGCGGGCGAGCGTAGCGGGCGCAGCGGGCGCGTGCCATCGCCGCTCGCATCGTCGCCGCAGGCCAAATATTCGCCCACGCGCATCCGCGGCCGGACCCTCCCGCCCGCAGCGCGTGCGTCGTCCCGCCCGCGAGCGGCTCTAGCGCGCGAATACGCACGAGGTTTGCCTGCGGGCGAACAGAAACGTAAAGACGACGCGTTTGAGCGTAACACTGAAGCGAGAGAAGGAACACACGAAAAGCAATGTGTTGGTGTTGCCCTCCCCCCACCCCATCCCTCCCCCTACCTCCCCCCCTCCCTCTCCATGCCCCTAACCCATGTTCTCCGTTTCAGCCCACCTCCCCGTCGTAGCGATCGACAGGTCCGCCCTCGGATTCCCATCTCCATGTGGCCTCCGCAGGGCGCAGAGCACAGAGAAGGGTCTCTTGACTTAAACCCTCCGAGGTCTCTCCCCTCACCGTCTTATTTTGTTTCCTTTTAAAGTAATCTCGTCGTGCTTGTTAATACTACTACTATTATTGTTTTCGTCATTGTTGTTGCTGCTGTCGTCGTCGTCGCTGTTATATTGTACGTGGTTATTTTTTGGCGCGTTGTTGTTTCCTCTCCTTTTTAATTTAATTGGAGATAATTTGCACCGTGTTAAGGTTCGACGACGATACGCGTTGCTTGTCGGTATGAAGCCGGGTCAGGCCGTGGCGCGCGGGGGGGAAGGCGCAACCCAAAAAACAAGCGGGTGGGGGGGGGGCTCTCATTTCATTCGCAAAAATACCGATACGTAATTGCAACGATATTCATCGCATTCATATGGCGCTTGCCCCAGCAATACATAGCGTCTCATTTCAAATATTCAAGGGGGTGGGGGGAGGAGGGCGTTTGAGGCAATGATCCCTGCCGTGCGTAATCCCAACGAGAGTAATACGCGCGGCATCGGAACAAGTTTGAAATCATCTGCGAATAAAGAAGCCGATTCACCTCTGATACTGCGTCGCACAGCCACCCGGGGGGAATGCCACCTTGAGAGGGGGTTTTAAATCCCCGGGCGAGCGCCGAGATCCGCAGGGTCGACATCGAGTGGCTCCCGGCATGCGCCGCGCGTCGCCGAGTAGCATACGGGGTCGGGGGGCGTTTTTTCTACTTGCCGGACGGATGCGAGGGGACTCCAGCGAGAATGTCGGCGTTGAGGCCGTGGGTCAGTGTTTGAGGCTGTGGGTCAGTGTTTGAGGCTGCTCGTACGATCGTCCGTTGCTACGGTGCAATAATAGCATCTTAACACGATTTGGGGGTGCGCGTGGTGTCTCTCTACCCAGCTTACGTAGACATTCGACGGTCGTGACACAACACGTGGGTAGGGCGGCCACGCACTATTGGTGTCACCGGGTGGCTTCGTGGTGGCTCTCTTGAAAGTTGCATTTTAACGAGACATAAACGATTTAGGTCTCGTTGGTAAAACCGGTGTTGGACAGCCTGGGACACACAGCTCAGCTCCGCAAGTACAAATACGCCAGCTGCTTGTTTCCTGGGTTGCGTCTTTCCATAAACCTCTCCGATTGACTGCAGTGCCACAGCCAAATTTAATGGGCACTGCTGCACAAATGGGCTGTGTGCTGCACGCATGGGCCGTGTGCTGCACTTATGTGCTGCAATCAGTACCAAGTGCTTTTTCCAGCTAGCTCCTTTACAAGGAGGTACAGGCTCGATTGCTGCGAAGGGCTCAAAGTCAAACGGCGGTCTCCCGTGCCCACAGAAGCAACTTGCGAGTCTTTGAACTCCACTTTATCCAAAACCATGAATTTTGGTAACGATTGGTGTGCTCGGAGCTCAATTCAGAATCGGAAAGCCGTGAGTTCACATCCTGGTGCGGGCTAGGATGGGCAAATCATCATTCTAGAGGTCAATGAAATGACACCATTTTGTGGGAAATCGGCAGTGGTTGACCTAGAGAGATGGGCTCATGCCGTGGGAATGTGGAATCTTCACCCACTGGCTCAGGGCCACAAACGGAGCGCCGGCCCCCATTGCTCGTTGGAGACGCGCGAGTTTGCTCAGAAGAAAGTGGGAATTTAAACATTGGCTCCCGTGGTTGTGCGTGTCCGTTTGAACTTCTGCACCGCACGTAGTGCAACCATGCTGTCGTGGAGACAAACACCGGCCATCCGCCTGCAGAACGACGTACGCAAGGTCCACGAGTCGGTGGCTGCTGATTAAGCAAAGATTTGATTTTCACCAAAAGCCAAACTATATTCTAATTCAAGCTGCCGGCGCCACTCATTTGGGACACATCGAGACATTTTGACTTTTGTGAATTTTCCCTTTTAACAATCGTTCATCGGATGACCTCTGAGAGTTTATTTTAATACGTGGTGGTGGGGTCATCTAAAAAGTCGCCGTTCCTAACACAAGAGGTTCGCGGTTAACGCCTTCACGCCCCTCGTCTGGCCACGGATGTTTCGATCGTCGCTTGCGCCTCCAACTGTGGCGGCGGCTGTCACCTCGGCCCCCACGCAACGGCGGCACGGCCTCGACCGGCAATGAAAAAAAAGTGTAAGTGGAGTCAGGGGGGGTGGGTGGTGGGGGGTGGCACGAGTTTGCATTTAAAACAAAAAGGGGGGCTTCCGTTGCAAGTGCACACGTCCCTTTGGGGGCAAAGCCGCTCTGGTCGAGGCGCTGGCTGTATATTTCCTCTGTAAATACCATGACACCGATGTAGAATACTATGTAGGAACCCTCCTATAGCGTGCACTGTAGGTGTATTATAAGCGTGTTTATATATATATGCGAGTCGAATGCTGTGGGTTAGTCGCAGGGATGCCTATTTGTACACGATCCACCCGCGTTTCCGGTCAGAACGTTTTTCAAAGTGATTGACCCAGTCACGGAGTGAACCACCATTAAATAAACACTTTTCCGCAAAACAGTTTTTTTTTAATGTCATCACGCCAGCGAGAACTTGCGAAGCGTGCAGTAAAGTTGTGCACTCACCGCTGCAAATGAAAGGAGGGGATGCCCCAAAAGTAATGCCTTCTATATTCTTGCTCAAATAACGTTACTGCTTTTGCTCATAAAAAAATCTCACGATTTTTTGAGATGCTGAAATTTGTTTTGAGTTTCTGCTTAGAAAACGCGTGACATTCAGCTGCCTGAAGGCCCTGCTCCCAACGCGACAACGTTGACCACAGTAATGGAAGACCACGCACAAGCCAGAGAACATCGGCAGCCGCTGCATTGTCCGGGTGGACTGCCCAATGAATACATTGTGAGGTCGCACTCATTACACGCAAAAAGTGCGTGCCCAAAAGCGAACCACAACACCTTGCTGATCTCGTCAAGGAGCATAAACCATCATCACACAAGCTCTGGTCATTCTCGCAGCGGCTTTTGGCTGGCCATTTAACAAAGGCGGTCACCGCATCGCGTGGCGCTTTCAGATGCGCTTTTGCGGCCGTCTGGAATACTCTTCCGATATTAGGAAGCCACTGGAGCTACACACTTTCAAATCATCTAGAGTAAAGACTAATTTCTTTAGAACTGCTTTTTGTGTTTCGTTTGTTATTTCCTCGCACCTCCGATCAGCACAATTGGCTATGTACAGTGTGAAAGAAGTTCAACATACTAAACTATTTTTTCTCATTTTGCATTTTATTAGGCAAGGTCCACTGAGCTATTTAGCTTCTTTTCAGAAGTGACCTGGCCACAAATGATAGCTCAACGAGAATTGGCTTATCTTTTGGAAATGTATAGCAGCCAAATACTCTAAATGAATAGCGAGGCTCGAACCCACGACCTGTACACGTGACGAGGTAGTTAACATCCCGCCACCGTGGCGTCCACCCAAGAGTACCGTGCTGTTAAGTGTCATTCAAACCTCCGCTTCCATGGGAAGTTGCGACCTGAATGCAGCGCCTTAAACCGCTCGGCCATCCTGACTGTCGCATAAATACCTGCTGCACCCCTCAAACCCGACGTCGCCTGCGCTGCACCCGCTGCACCCGCTGCAGCACCTTGGGGCAAGTGTGGGTGCTGTGAAGGACCCACCGCCAGTCCGACTGATGGGAACCTGCGCCGCGCCAGCTCCGTCTCGAGCCAAGGGTGTTGCGCACGCGCGGCACGTGCTGCTGCGCTTCCGTGCGGAGCGAGCATGCGGCCTGCTGCTGCTTGTGCTGCACCTGGCCGAACGTCTCCAGACTTGTCAGCACCCCCCCCCCCCCCCCCCCCGAGAGTCATTGTGGTCAATCGCGAGACAATTCCCCACCCCTCCCAGCGTTTCTCACCTGTCCGAAGATGAGTGCGAGACACGGCCATATACCTCGCGGCAGGCCCAGGCCAGCCGCTGTTCTTTTTCTTCGGGAATGGCCCTTTGACTACCTTTGCACATCTATTGAACTGATTGGATTTTTTTTTCTCATTAAGTCCAGGGGACCTCTTCGCCACCAGTAAATTGTCTTCAGGGGGCTTCCCCAAGGTTCTGTCCTTGGACCCCTCATGTTCATTTTAATCTCGCCGTGGTGGCTAGGAGATGTTAACTCCCTCACCTGGTATACAGGAGGTCGTGGGTTCGATCCCGATCCCGACTCTGATGCCTGCTGTGTATTTGCGCGTCTCTTTCTCTCTCCCCGTGGTCGTGTGGATTTTTCTCCGGGTCCTGCGGTTTTTCCCTCACCTTTAGAAACATGCATTTAGAGTGTTTGCCTGGTATACATTTCCACGATAAACCACTTCGTTGAGCTATCATTTGTGATAACCAGGTCGCTTCTGAAAAAAAGAGCTAGACAGCTCAGTGGGCCTTACCTGGTAAAATGAAAAATTGTTAAGGTTTTTTTTAGTATTTCATCTCTCCAATTGGTCACCTCGTCAAGAGTTACGGCGTTGGCTACCACATCTACACTGATGACGTTCA